AGCTGTTTGTAGCAGCAAAAGTCTAACTCTTCTCATTTTCAGTTTGATATTGAATATTTATTAATCACATATCACAAACACCAGTTGTTTTTTTTTTAATTGGGAGGAGTATTAAGAGTTTGCTGAAAGAAATCAGGTTGGGATCTGGTAGTGAGAAGCAACAGGGGTCTTTGCTTCAGGGAGGTGAAATATTTGCAGCAGAGCTCAGGGAAGCATTGAGGTGATTGTTCCAGGATTTCCTTTGGGATTATATCACCTAAACTCAAGATAAATAACAACAGATAATGTGTTTCAGTTGATTTGAGATGGTGAGATTAGATTTGGTGACCCAAGCTTGTCTTTACTAGGTTTGCTTCCTCTTTTTCCAGTGTTCTCTAATCCACTCTAAAAAGGTGGAGTGAGATTTTCCCACTCTAAAAACTGGAAATGGAGATTTTTCACAAGCCTGCCCTTTCTTTTATCCTAGCAACTGGTGTCTTTCAGAAGCCCTGCCTAGAAGAAGTTCTCCTCATTAAAACTCACACTGGGTGTAGGACAGAAGATACAACAAGCTGGTAAACACAAGTTCCTAGGAGTTACACAAACCAAGGGTGTATCCCAGTATTAACGTACTGGTTTTAACTGGTGGTGCCACAGCTGACATTCCCTGGGTTGGAGGAGGTGTTGAGATGTTTTCCATCACCATCAAACCTGCTGTAATTAGTGGAGAAGTGAGTTTTTGGAGCAGTCAGAGACACCCACGCTGCGTTCACTCCACCACAGCAGTGAAGTGGTGACACAAATTGAGTGTAAAAACCAGATCTGTGATTTTACAAAGCAGTTTTTTGGGTTAAAACTTGGCTATTTTTTCTCTTTCTGACTTCTATTTGTGCATCACCAGGGTTTGTAAATCCCATTTCTTATTTCTTGGACTCTTTCCAAGCACCTTCTCCTCGGAGCTCCGCTGTTGTCACGCCGCATCCTTCACCTTTGTGTTTCATTGCTCTCTCTGATTCACAGTTTCTCCAGGAAGTGGGTGTGAGGACTCTCAGTATTCGTGAGCAGGAGTTTCCTAGTTCCTTGTGAGAGATTCTTCTTCCCCTCTCTGAACATTCCCTTGAACTCCTCCAAAGATTATGAATTAAAATTGGAGAAATGCCAAAATGGGGGGGGTTCAGAAAGAGGGAGATTTGTAATCAGTGTCAAAACAGGTTGAAATTATCTCCAGAGAAAAAGAAATAAATGAATTAAATATATTTAAATCAACAGGTTCCTGACTAATAGCACACAAAGAATTTAAAATGTGTGGTGTCAAGAATGAAATGGTCTCAAAAATCAGTTACAGAATAAGAATTTTTATTCCTATTAGCATTTTAATTAATTAATTGCAATCACATTGATGTGCTTTACCTCGTTATAACCTGCCCTCCCCAACTGCTGGATCCTTCTTATCCTATAATTTATTTTTCCAATTCCTAAATGTGAATTTAATACTTGTTTGTTTTTAACACCATGTAGATACCGTGGAGAAGGGATCATTCAGGAAGTCCCTAGTAAAATTATTCCTTTTATGTATCTCCCTGAATATCGAAACACATGGGACAAGGCATTACAATCCTACAGGCTGTTGGAAAGGATTGACCAGGTAAGGTGAGAATTTCATACAAACAATCTTCTTTTCATTCTTTTTCTCTGGATTATGGTGATTAAAAACCTCCTCCTCTCAGTCTCCTCTTCTCCAGGCTGAACAACCCAAGTGCCTTCAGCCTCTCCTCACACCCTTCCCCTCTCAGCCCTTCCCCAATGTTGTGTCCCTCCTCTGGACACTCTCCAGCAGCTTTAGATCCTTTTTCTCCTGTGGTGCCCAAACTGCCCCCAGTACTGGAGGTCCTGTGTGTGATCAAGAGAGATTCCAGAACATCCTACACATCTATAAATTACTGAAAGGACTTTCTAAATTGGGAAGAAAAATAAAATAATCCTTTATTTGTCTTCCCTGAGCACCTCTCTCATTTTCTTCTGCCTGGATTTATTGGTCAAAGAAGTTGGAGGAGACTGAGAGGAGATCTCCTGGGGGTCTAGAACTTCCTCCCAAGGGGCAGAGGAGGGGCAGGCGCTGATCTCTTCTCTCTGGCCACCAACGAATGCCAGGAGCAGAGGACATGGCAGGAAGATGTGGCAGGGGAGGGTGAGGTTGGCCATGAGGAAAAGGTTCTTGAGGCACCCAGAGGGTGGTGGAGCACTGGAACAGGCTCCCCAGGGAGGTGCTCATGGCACCAAGCCTGACAAGATGCCAGCAGCATTTGGCCAACATGTGCCCTCAGGGACATGGTGTGAATGTTGGGCTTGTCCTGTGCAGGGACAGGAGTTGGATCCATCATCCTGGTGGGTCCAACTCACAACATTCCATGATTTGATGATAAATATTAGGACGCAGTGGCTCCAGTTTAACCCTAAGATATCAGAACTGTCATCTTCTGCTAAAAACAGGAGTCCATTTTGGCCACATTCTTATTATTTAACATCTAATCCTGCTTTGCTAATTAAAGAAAACTTAATTTATTCTATATGAATTAAAGATAATGATATTTTATTTGTAGGACACGGGTATTTACCACAGCGTAACCCACAGTTACGGCATGGGGCTGGTGTCATCCCGAGACTTCGTGGACCTGCTGCACGTTAGAGCATATCCTGGTGATGTCCTTACAACTAATTGTAAGTTGGGTGGAACCACTGTGTATTTTCCTATTTTAACTGGGTTTTTTTTGGAAATCTTAAAGTGAATAGTTATAAATTCTCACAGTACCTCGCTCTGTGTGTGTTCTTCCTGATGGGAACAATCTTCTCCTATTTATCCCCAAAATAAAGTAGTTGGGGTTTTTTTTTAATACTTAAAACTATCAAAACTTGATTTTCAAGGAGAACAACCTCTTGTTTATTCTCCTATTAATATTATTAAAAATTATTTTAAAAAATTAAAATATTATTGATTATTCTATTTGAAAAATTGAAAAATATAGTAGTCGTATCAGGAAGCTCAAATATTAAAAAATT